CTCAATCTGGAGAAGCAAAGGCTGTATACCAAGGCTCTTCCGGATGTCACTATTCCGGACCATGTCGAGAAAATTGTTTTGCATTGCTATTTATTTCAAAAGCCAGCAGTTTATTCATAAAATTTGTTTGGCTTTTCCGGCATGTGTATGTCTAGTCACCCCAAAAGACAGTAAGCAGATGCGAGCAGCATCATGAACTGTTGTTGGATTGAGTGGTGGGGAGCCTGTACGATAATGGCGGCACTTCTCATTAAGAAATTTATAAATTGGTATTCTACAAAATTGAGCGGCTGCGATGCCAGCAGCAGTGACAGATGCCTGAATTGTTGTAGTGGTTTGCGATCAGATTTTCAGTCAAGAATTATGAGTTTCTTTTCAACTTCAGCCTCGCAGTGAACGAAAGTTTAGCGCTCTTTTACTGTAATTCAAACAAATGTTTTGCCACGTTTAAATTATAACTGGTTTTGTTTCGGTTTAAAAAGCTATTTTTCACAGTGTAGTATTTTGTTTAGCTTTTTACTGATGGTGACCAGAGCAACTACGAGGAAGATCTGAAAAAGATAACTGCGGAGGTCGAAGTATTGGGCGAAGTGTACCGCTCCATGTTGATCTGTTTCCATCCGTCTACTTCTTCTTCTCCTTATGAGTTGACTGTCGAAAAGATCCATCAACTGAGCCTCGATGAGCTGATGAGTTTGAATTTGGACGATTACTTGACGAAGTACCAGAATTCCGTCGAAGAGGTACAGGATTTGTTTCAGCATAGTATTCTCGTTTGGCAGAGTAACTAGATGATTTTCGATGCGATTAACAGGGTGATAATTTCATATTGATGGCCAATGAATGTTCGATATATTAAAGCAATATTTAATGCTGTATGGAATCTTTTGGGCATAGTTTTTTTTTGCGTAATGGTGTGTCTTTGCTTGTCAGCCTAGAAATGAGGAAAATCTTTTACTCTAGCGGTACTATGACCTGAAACTTTCTTTCCTCGCTTCAGCTACCGTCTCCTTGCAGCTATGAAACAAACGAAATATGAAACGGAGAACCTTTTGAAGCTAAGAATGAATTTGTCAGTTCTTGCTCCAATTCCGTTTTTGACAGAGTACGTCGTATTACCGGTTGATTTGATGTCTTTACTATTCATTCTGTTGTATTGCGCTGACAGATTTACTTTACTTTCCGATGCAGCGGCATTGGTTATTTTTGTATATACTCATTAACCTATGTTCTGTCCAACAAGTACTTTCGTTTGTAGTTAGCAGAATGTTTATTTTCTTTCTGATGGAAGCTAAGCATTTAGTTGAGTTAAATGTGAAAAACTAAGGCACATAAACAACTTTGCGGCACATTCCCCTTAATACGTAATTTGTCCTATTCACGTAGAAAACAAGGAAGTCGTTTCGGAAATCAGTATGCGTACATTTTAACCTCTGATCTCTTCGACAGAATGTGTTCTGAACTGGTTCTAGTGCATTAACCGTCAGTCCTTGAGGAATTGATGCTTCTAATGCCTATGCTCATTACTCGATTATTATTAACTCTTTTATGTGTGTGGTCGTCTAATAATCATTATGATCTTGTCTTTTTTCTAGACAAACTCGCAGAGGAAAAAGAACATTCAGTTAAACTGTGAACGCGACTTGACAGAATTACTTAAACTCGTTTATCCTGATGTTTACGCAGCCAGTGCCGACAAAGACTTAGGGTACATTTTGGACAAGGCTTTAGAGAAGGAGAGAAACATGGAAACGAGGCACGGAAAAGAAAATGTACAAAACTGAGTTGTTTTGTTTGTGCTTTTTAGATCCTATTCATTGTCCTTTGCTGCGGTTTTGATGACGTTCGTCTGTAAATATATTTTTCGCTGGAAAGTGAATGCGTTGTTTTATTTCGAAGGCGATATGTTACGGATTTGTTTTGTTATCTGAAATAAAATATGTCGGTTTATTACTAAACAGTTAATTTTTGACACCGCTGGTACGAGTAGCATTTTCATGTTCAATGTTTTTGTATTTGCGCCACATAAGCACACTGTTCTATTACTTC